TGTCACCCCAAATGGCTACGCGTGTCAGCACTGACACGCGTGTCATAGGTTCGCCATCACTGGCATATGCAGACTTTCTGTATTTTGCTTGTTAAGGAGCTTGGACTTTTATTATATTTAGTTTAAAATTTGTTAAATATATTTTGTGGTTACAGTGCAGTCTTAAAGATGAAAAACTTTATTTTCATCAACTGTTAACTGAAGAGACAAGTACCTCATCTGTATAAGCTGTATGAAAAAAAGAATCATCTATGACTAAACCAATTGAGGGTTTTGTTCTTCATTGCCTCTAGGTGGAATATGCAGCACAAGCACCGACTTCTTTCATAACATACAATTTTTTTCTGAGGTTAAAGTTGGAATTATTACTAACTGTCGCCAGTCTATATTACAAACATGCAATATTGTTTCTTATTTTATTTGCTCTTTATTTAAGATTTCAGATACAGAACTCGAGGAAGTAGTTAAAGTTGGTCAAGCAAGTGAAATTGCTCGCCAAACAGCAGAAGAATCTGGAATTACAAATTCTGCTTCCAGCACACTCTTATCAGAATACAATGTAACCAACAACAGCATTGCCCTTCGAACACCTAAAACACCTGCTGCACAGGACAGAATCCTACAGGTAATGCCTAAACAAACACTGATTCAAATTGTCCTGAAACTTCCATTACTACAATTCTGCCTACCATGAAGTAAATAGCAGCAGATAATTGTTTACATTTTTATTCGGTTTCTATATATTGATAGATAATTATTGTGGCTTCATGGAAACAATTTTGGTATGTCCTCCTTTTGAGGAGTGGGGACATCCCAAACCTATCCAGAGAATGAAGAGAGGTTGGGGGGGGGGAGAGAGAAAGAGAGAAGCAGCTCAAGTATAAGGGTAAAAAATTTTGGGGTTTTTTTGTAGCCAAAATGAACTCTAATTTAAAACATTTAGATGGTGGTAAAGACTGTAATTCCTTGTTAAGAGACATTAGATATCTGTTGGTAATTCTGTGTGTATGTATAATTGTTGTTTTACAATTGTTATTGTAATTTTATGATTTTGAAAAATGTTTATTATATACTTTGTATGTCTTCCCTACAGGAAGCTCAGAATTTAATGGCACTTACAAATGTTGATACCCCCTTAAAAGGGGGTCTTAATACACCCTTACATGAAAGTGATTTCTCTGGAATAACACCTCAGAGACAAGTTGTTCAGACACCAAATACCGTGCTTTCCACTCCCTTCAGGTAAATTAGATTCTTGAGTTGTTGAGAAGAGTATTTTAGATTTTCATGCCAAAAATGAAGGACATTTTCTGCTTGGCTGATTAGGTTGATTCCTAAGACAATTTCCAGAAGCCTCTTAACAAATATGGCTCCTTTACACAGAGGAAATTTGAATGGAAAAGTAGTTGTGGTTCAGTGTATTAAACAACATCACTGAAGCATCCAGTAATGGTGAAGTGGTACTTTTCATATTCAGAATTGTATTCTTAAGGATCATTACAAAGAAAATTAAGGTACATGTGAAATACAAAAGTGTCCTCAATTTAGGTAAGAACAGAATAACCTTCCTGCAATGCTTGTTTAGAACATTCTAAATTGGCTCATTATGATAAAACAAAATTTGAGATAATGCTAATATTCTGAATTCTGTTCAAAACATGTTGAGGTTTGCATGCATAGATTTGATGGGACCCTGAAAAGAGTTTCTTGTTCCTTTGTGGGGTTTTTTTTTTACCTCACTATAAGAGTGAGCAGCTCATAGATTTTTTAAAATGTTTTCAAAAATATTTTGAAATATCAAGAATAACCCTTGGCTAACTTTTATGCTGGTTTGGCTCCTAGGCACAATTTTAATCTAATGTAATGTATATGTTAAACAAGTTCAAAAAAGAACAAGAAGCCTGTTATCTTTCAGTACAATTCATGCTTTATTATTATATACACAACAATGTGAAATCACAACTGCCAGTTCTGTAGGTGGTGTTGACTTTCATACACATCAAGTAAGATGCCACAATGTGTCAGTATAGTACATGTATGGATGCAGGGTGGCCTTTGGTATTTGATAGATGGGAAATTTATCAATGTGCGGGAGTGTCCAAATTTTTTGGTATAGTGCCCTGTGTAGCAGAAACCATTAGAATTATGGCTGGTTTACTATTATTACAATACATTATTGTAATTGTTATTATTAGACATTTTTGCTTGCCTTATAACCAAAGAAAAGAAAAGTTTCTGTTTACTTGTATGAATAAATAGTAATATCTCAGTAGCAAAAACAGGCAAAAATACTACATTCACAGGCACCAATCTGTATAAACGAGCAAAATCTGCATTTAAATGCAACCTGAAAATCACTGGCAACCAAGTTCAAAAACAGGCAGTATGCACACACAGAAAGCTCCTCTAATACAAAACAAAATTGAAGTCTTTATTTTCAAATATAATCTGAGTGAAAATTCAACATCAGCAAGTCAGAGAAATATGCAGAGTCCACAGAAATATGAAACTCAACAAGATACAAGAGTATGTTCAACCATTCAAGATATAAGTATTAAGAGATATATTTTTGAAAAGGCTGTAAATTGGTTTCTTGAGATTCAAGATTTATTTAAAGATAAGGATTGTGATTCAGAAAAGTTGTTATGTGTGGAGTAATGGGCTTATTGATTGGTTAACAGGGGACTGTCTCTAATATACCCAAGATAGAACGGCTGGTTTTTTCCCCCCAAATCTTTTGTTTACTATGTCTGCCCAATCTCATCTACTTTGTTCATCAAACAAAATTCCTTTTCTGCCATCTCTTATCAATGCCCTTATAGTTTTGTTAGCTGCTGATTCAAAACTTAAAAACACAGTCATATTAGCAAATGCTGTGATGAATATATTTAAGTGGTTTAGACATTGCCTGAGAACTGACACATTCTTCCAATTTTGTATTTTTCTAGGACTCCTAGTCATGGAGCTGAAAGTCTGACTCCTCATAGTGGAATGACCCCCAAGCCAGTAATAGGAGTGACACCAGGCAGAACTCCATTGCGGGATAAGCTAAATATTAATCCTGAGGAGGGGATGGCAGATTATAGTGATCCATCCTATACAAAACATATGGTAGGTAAGAAAATATCTTAATATACGTAACATGCAATATATTATTTCTAATGTAATATCATATTTCATTAGATGAAGCTCACAAAATTGTAAATCCAATAGGATTTAGTTTGAAACTTCATAGCAAGACAGATTCAGTGCATATCTTTTAAAGCAGTAGTATTAACCACCAAGGGTCAGTACATGACTGATTCATCCACATTAGGAATATAATTTTTCTTTTGTTTTTACTAAAATATAAAATAAAATAGTGATATTGGGAGAATGAATTACCTAACGAGTTAATTGCATTGATGACCTAAACAGCATTGGGAATGTTAAAACACTTCCATCTCCAGC